AAATCAACTTGTTCTAAATATTTCAAAAACTATGAGTATAATATTTGTTTCTAAGCATAGACTATCTGATAATCCGAAAATGAATATACAAGTAAATGGTCAAAATGTACAGCAGGTAAAAAAGGTGAAGCTTCTTGGACTTTGGCTGGATTCCACATTGTTATGGTCTGATCACATCAACATAGTGTTTGCTAAAATGGGTAGAGCTGTAGCAGTAACGCGGAAATGTGCACAATTTCTAAATTCACGGTTGTTCAGTCGTGTTGTTTGTACATTGGCTTTGTGTCGTCTGGATTACTGTTCTGTTGTATGGTGTGCTGCAGCAAGCAGTCATTTAAAAAAAATTACAAGTGGCTCAAAATAAGGCTGCAAGACTGGTTCTTGGTCTAGTGTTGCAGAGATGCATGACCGTCTTGCTTGGCTGGTGGTCAAGCATATATATGTGAGTAATTGTGATTGTGATTACTGTTCTTTTATGTATTTTTTTTCTTGGACCCCAGGAAGACTAGCTGTCGTCTCAGCGTCAGCTAATGGGGATCCTTTTAAATAAATAAACAAATAGAACATTTGATGGACTGGAATCAGAGAGACAGATTCGACAAATATCCACTGTATTTTTACATTGATTACACTGAGATTTACTGAAATAGCAAAACATCAAAAAGGACAACAGGAAAATAGATCGTAGGCACTGAGCCAGTGTTATCAAACACCGCATCAATGACTTGATCTATAACCAAATACTGATCTAATAGTTATCTGGTCAGTTGATCCCAAATCAGCTAATTACCATTAAAGTCTTTTATAAACCAACACTTATCAGAACAATGCAAAGCACTAGAAAGGAGTTTGTTATTGTGCTTCATACTGAGACATGTGGACCGCAGCTCTTTTCGTGGGGTTGGCGGCTCTTAAAAGAGCCTTTGTGGTGCAGATGGAGGCCTCCGTCTCTACTTCTTGGCGGGCTTCTCGGTCTTCTTGGGCAGCAGCACCGCCTGGATGTTGGGCAGCACGCCGCCCTGAGCGATGGTCACTCCGCCCAGCAGCTTGTTGAGCTCCTCGTCGTTGCGGACAGCCAGCTGCAGGTGACGCGGGATGATGCGGGTCTTCTTGTTGTCGCGGGCGGCGTTTCCGGCCAGCTCCAGGATCTCGGCGGTCAGGTACTCCAGCACGGCCGCCAGGTAGACGGGGGCTCCTGCGCCGACACGCTGCGCGTAGTTCCCTTTGCGCAGATGCCTGTGGACGCGACCGACTGGGAACTGGAGCCCGGCTCGGGAGGAGCGGGTCTTGGCCTTCGCTCGGGCCTTTCCGCCGGTTTTACCTCTGCCGCTCATTGTTAAACTGTTTCAGGGAAGGAAGTGTCTGTGAACGCGTCAAACCCTCCTTTATATGTCCGCGGAGTGGGCGGGACGGTCCCTGACGCGCGCACCAACCAGAGAAGAGGCTCCAGGCGCGAGAGCAGAGGGCGGGACCTCTGAGAGTTGGCGGACAGTTTGAAATCATTTTCCACCAATGAGCAGCGGAGACTCGCTTCTGGAGGCGCGGCTGAGCTCCGACGCGGCGCCTTTTGTTCCCAGCAGTCACCGTCTAATGAATGAATGAATATATGAAGCAATGGATTTCTCAAGGATCTTAGAGAGGAAGGGAAGATTAGAGATAGGTCTGTAGTTAGCCAACACCTCTGGAGCAACAGTAGGTTTCTGAAGAAGAGGTTTAATTACAGCTACCTTGAAGGACTGTGGTACACGTCCTGTCAACAAGGACAGATTCATCATATCGAGTGACGACGTCCTTAAGCAGACAGAAATCGGATCCAAGAGACTAGTAGAAGATTTAGTAATTATATTACATTATTATATTTTCAAATGATAGAAGTCAGTTGTAGGTAATATGTTGTTAAATTGGTTTAAACTTAACTAAATATATTCGAATATCTGTGTTTTTTTAAGCGAATATTCGAACGTGTTCCATGTTGAGAGCCCCAGTGGTCACCTACTGCAGGACGCGGCATGAAGTGGGATTCTGTGCACACATTAATATACAAAATGCTATTAGTGTGCATAATAAAATTTGTAATTTGTAACCATGGAGTTACGAGACGTTAAAATGTGGAGTGTCCAGTTCATCAAAGGGAATCGACTGCGAGAGAACCCATTTCACCAGAACTCCAACGTGATGTGCTTTTACTTTGGAAATTTGTGCGAGGAGGTTCATGAGTTATGGGAATCATTTCCCACAAAGATCCGTATGCAGTTTACTGAAATGTAATCTAAAGACATCCAAAGGAATGTGACAGCTACAACCAAAATGTGAATGACTTTCATTAACTGTTTTTAATTTACATTGGAATACATTGATAAAAGAAGTGAAGCCTAAATTTAAAACCTAATCAATACAAATTTCAGTTTTTGTAAACATCACTTGACTTCAAATCATTACTATTTCACAGTTGTTTCTTTTGAACCTGCAGTTTACATTTTGTCTTTGTGATGCTTCGGTTTCCTTCTGCTGTCGAAAACTAAAATATATTCATATGTTTGTATGTCGTAAAGAATGAATGAAGAATTTATCATGCAAATGAGGAACAAAGTTACTATTTTCGCCCCATTTTATTTACTTCTATCACATTAATGTATTAACGAATACCCTCTAATTAGGTTTATGCAATTTGTTAAAAATGTTTATTAATTGTATTTTTTTTATGTCTATATTATACATCATCCTCATTATAACTAAAGGACATTTTTACACACAATAAGGTCTGCAATAAATCTGTAGTCCTCGTACTGTACATTGTTTTCAATGTATCGTAAATTCCGGACTATAAGCCGTTACTTTTTTCTCACGCTTTGAACCCTGCGGCGCATTTAAATTCCAGTGAACTGTCTGCTGGTAGAAGTGACACAGTCACCCTCGAAATTGTGTCCTGCAACTCAGGTGACACAATCACGCCGGAGGAGAGTGACCGTCCATCCGGAAAGCGGCAGAGGGCAGATGAAGAGGCCAAACGTGTAAGTTGGTGTAGCAAATCTTTTTTGCAAATACTTACTGTGGGAGTTACAGTGTTTTGTTAGATTTTTAAGTGTTTTTTTCATAAAACAGTTGAGACTTGCGTCAACATTTGAGAGTTGAAATGGTGTCTGTAGCTGAAAGATTGGCGAAGCTGAAAAATCTGAAAGTTGAAGAAGTTTAAGAGGATTTGAAAACAAACTCCATTGGAAAACCATGTTAAAATATTCATGATTATTGATTTATATAAATTCAATCTTAAGAGGTAAAAAGCTGAAAAGTCATAGCCCCCCTTTCCTGAATGAGCTGAATATTTTAATATTTGAATAGTTTTAATAGCTCAAAGTGTGAAGGAGTTGAAAGGTTGCACGGAAGAAATAGAAGATGTTGGAATAAAGAACAATACTCGAATGCTTAATGCATTCCAACAATAACGGTGTCTTTAAAGAAACAACTTAGTTATGTGTAACAAAGATGATGAAATAGTTAGGTTGAGGTAAGATCGCCTTGGGTTGAAATAAAATAAATGCAGGTTTCCGGCGGGGTGATAAACTCCTCGCTTCCTGAACTTGTTACGGCTTCCTCTCTGGTTCCACACCGTCACCGTCACACACACACACACACGCACACGCACTCGCACACGCACACAGATTCCAGTTCCTTCCTGTCGAGCTGCTGCCCGAGGAGAAGGAGAACTCTGGGACGGCTGAGGAGGAAAAGGAGGAAGAGGAAGAGGAGGAGGAGGAGGGAAATAACGTGAGGCAGACACACACACACATACTCACTGGTGTCACAGTGGGGTCCCGCCTCACACACACAGCTGAAGGGGCCCCAGGAGGAGTGAGCGCCGCAGGACGGCGTCCGTGAACTCGTTAGATGTTCATTCCAGGTCCTCCAGGTTCTCACCTCTGGTCTCCTGGCGTCTCTCCTGCAGCCGGACTCGTCTGTCTCCTGACTGTCCCCCCCGGCCTCCAGCTCGCTACCCGAGTCTCATGTAAAATCTCTCCATGAATAAAAATAAATAAATAGGTTGTTTTCAAAAACATTCAGTTCTGAGTTGTTATTTAGCTCCTCCCACCTTTCCGTCGCTGACCACGTGGAGCCGATGCCAGCGGCGGTCAGGGACGGTGGATCGGGGTCAGCGCCCCCGACCCGTGGTTGATGCTCAGCGCCGGAACGCCGTTCCTCAACTCCGCAGGGGGGAGGAGGAAGAGGAGGAAGAGGAGGAGGAATGTGTGAGTGTGTGTTTTGGCTCCAGATGGAAACTTCTGATCTTTAATTCATTCAGACATTTTGCAGTTATTTAGTAACAAATCAGGTTCTGATGAACGTCCTGCCAGATGGAAGGGGCACAAACAGTTTTTGTCCGGGCTGAGAGGGGTCGGCTTTAATCTTTATTGCTCGCTTCAGGATCCTAGAAGCAATAAATAAACATTTTTTTAATTGAAATATTTTTATGTTTGAATTTTGGCAGGTTAGGCAGTGCCTACCTTCTCTACCCTACACAAGCGGGCTTCTTTACTGGCTGTTCTTACCCACAATCCTTTGCAGAGCAGATATATTCAGAGGGTTCAAGGTGCCACGTGATGAGGGAGTAGAATGCTGCATGTAACAACATGTACTTGAGGAAGCTGCAGTTTGTCATAAAGGTAAATGGTTTAACAAGCGGCTTCACACTGATACGTGGGTGAGTTGTTCCGCCCCGACAGGTTCAACCTGATCAACAAAGAGGAGTGAAGAATAAAAACACTCTCAGCTCAGACTCTGTTGTCTTAGTGGATGTTTGTATTCAATATAAACTCTTCACTACATTTGTTACAAAGGTTTCTGCTTCATCACGTGTTCCCTACTAGTCTACATGTAGAAGAAGACCAGGAGACAAAGAGGGACGTGCACAGGTCCTCTGAACCATCTGGTCCAAACTACAGCATCCAGTCTGTTGTCATAGCAACTCTTTACAAGGTGGAAGGATCGTTCCACAGATGCTGGTTTTGATCCTGAAAGACTCTTGTTGAGCAGTGAGGACGATTCTGTTCACGATGACCTTTGACCCTGTAAACAGCTCAGACTGACACTCAGTCAACCAGTCAGACCGCATACTTTGATGGTGACATTGAGGACGCACCCTCTCTAATGAAGGACAGCAAGCTGCGTCACTTCACTCCGTCTGATGGAAGCTGAAGTGAAGCACGGAGCTCCTTTTCTACACGGACCTGCTGAGGACAGAAGAGAGCTGCTCACTGAGGAAGTTCATGTCTACAAGCTCAGTAAGTGCAGCTGTGATTGGTTGAATGACATCATTGATGGTTGTGAAGGTGTGATTGTTTAAAGCTGGGAAACAAGATGGCGCCTGTGTGAGCAGGCAGAGAGAAGCTGCTGTTAGTCTGAATGATGACGCTGTGATGAAGAAGAGGAGCTCAGTCTGATCTGGGGTCTGTGAGGACTGTTACTGATGAGGAGGAGAAGGTAGCAGACGGAGGGGCACTAGGACCCAGCAGGGACCACAGAGCTCACCTGGGCCTTTGTTCCTGAAACACACCTGGGAGACGCTGTGTTTGGCCGTTTCTCAATACCTAAGACGGCGAGAACGGACTCGCGTTCCCGCGAGAATAGACTCGGGAGACAGACTCGGGAGTCCTGACTCACGGGTACGGGAGAACGGAGAACGGACATTTCCGCAATTGGAACAGCAGCTGACTTGATGACGTCACCACAGTAGGCGGTCTTTGTTTACGCACGCAAGTGGAAATGTATAAAAAGCCAGCAGCGTGTTAACGGTTGTGGAAGGTGTTTGTTGAAATTGCAAAAGTATTCTGATTGAGTAGCTGGCAACGAAGAGCACAATAAAAACATATTGGTATTATTATATTTAATAATTAATTAATTTGAGTAGTAACTACATGGATCCGTACTTTAACATATTTAACTAACGTTAAATGACCGAAAAATAAACTAACAGATTGAACAGAATCACATTAAAAGGTGATTCTCGACAATAGGCGGCTGGAATGAGCGCTGACCGCCCGGTGCGCGAGAGGTTACGTTATAACGGCTCCGTTAGATTTGGAGGCATTTTTTTTAAATAGGCTGAACGTTGACCACACATTTGTTGCTTAAACCGCTAACTTGTATCCTTAAAAAGTGTTCACATCACATTCCGTTAATTAACAATAGTGGTATTTAATAAAAGACGACTTACAGTTGTGCGTTTTCTCATCTGCCATCGCAGCTTGCTGAGGTGAAATGCATTCTGGGATATATGTCTCTCACAAGAACAGACGAGCCTGCTTCGATGCATGCCCGGTAAAATGGGCGGGGCGAGTCACATCCGGGTATTATGACCGTTCTCGGCCAGATGCGGACTTGAGAATTGGAACAGTACTCGGGCTGTGACTGATGACGTTTCACGAGTCCACGAGAACAAAAGTCCACACAAGAACGCATATTGAGAAACGGCCACTGTCTCACCTGCTGCTTCAGTCCTTTAAGTCCACAAAGCTTCATCTTCACATCTGCTTTAAACACATTTAGTCACTTTTTATGTGTTTGAATGTGTTTGTTTTCTTTAGTCTTCAGTTTTTCTCTCGTTGATCAGCAGGTTGTAGTCGACCTTTTACTAACTGATCACATGGTGAAGTGAACCATCCCATCAGGAGAAAGCTTCCCCATGTTACCATGGTAACCACAGTGTTTCCCATCAGGACAGCTACAGGTCATCTTACTGGTCTGTGTTTTACAGACTTCTGGACTCTGAAGGAGATCAAGAGGAGAAACACCACAGCTCCACCTGCTGGAAGACGAGAGATGACATTTATCTTGTAAAACAGGACGAGCATTTAAAATGACGTTAACATCGTTTAAAGAAGGAAAAAAAAAGTTTGTCTTTCACTAGAAGTCTTTAACAGATGCACAGCTGAGGGGGACAATCTGTCCACAGGACGACTAGCAGCGTGTCCTCCACATATCTGTCCTTTATGGAAGAGCAAGAAGAAAGAACTGTTGCAAATATTGCTGTTCAGTATTCGCAGTGTGCTGATATTTCTTTGTTCCTGATTTCTTGCAGAGCGACTCTCACACACACAAACACACACAGAATAATACACAATGAGGGAGATTCACATCTGCATTGTGATGGATGCACCACTGTGGTCACACGTCCTTCAGCCTTTAACCCTCATTACAGGACGAGCATTTTAAAGAAGGAAAAGGGAAGTTTGTCTTCCTCCAGAAGTCTAAACTTTAACAGACACAACACACAAAGTGTCCCATGAGAGTTTTAGTGTTGAGGTGAATGAGCTCTGTGTGTTTGTCCTTTGAAGATAATAATGTGTGAGCTCTCCCAGCAGGTGGTTGTGAAGGTGTGAAGGTGTGGACTCTGCTATGAATCAGGATGAGGACCCAGAGGACGGAGTCCGTCCCTCTGAAGCTCCTCTGTGTGGGGAACATGACAGCCAGACCAAAGCGCAGAGGTGAGAGGACCATCTCCAACTGTCCTCCGGTCTCCTCCATGTCCCAACGTCTTTGACTCACTGACTCTGGTTCTACATGTGTGACCAGGATCCACCAGAGACCAGGACCTGGACCTGATCCTGGACCTGGACCCAGCTGTGTGTCCATGAAGAGTAACCGGTCTATGCAGTCTCCTATAGACTTCAAAGATGTTGGTCCCTCTGTTGATGCAAGGTGAGGGTCTCAGGCTGAGGATGAGGTGTTTCTATCAGACTCTCTGGTGGAGGTTCTGGGTTTCTTGCTCCAGGGCCCTTCAGCAGTGTCCAGTGAGGGAGGGAGAGCTCCATGGAGGACTTGGTGAGACCTGTTGGGACTAAACCAAACTGACTGGTGAAGAAAACAGTGAGCTGAAAGACTGAGCTGTTGATTCTTAGTGGGACCAGCAAGACCAGTAGACCTGGTCCACTTCCTGACCTCACGTCAGGGACCTTTGACTTGTTTTGGTCTCTGTGAGGACGGACACTATGTGAGCTGATGCTTCATGATTAGATGATGATGTGATGATGTAATCTCAGTGTTTCTTTCAGGTCACATCAGCAGAGAGGAAAGTCTCCTGAACCCAGATGTGTGTCCATGAAGAGTGATCAGTCTATTGGTCATCTGAATGACTTCAGAGATGAACGCTGTTCCTTTGAGCCAGAGTAAGTTCTTAACAGATGAAGAACTGTTCTGATCATCAGTCATGAAGTACAAAAATTATGTAAACACAATGTGAGCTAGTTCCATCACATCAGGATCAGCAGAGGTCACATCTGGAGACAGCTGCAGGTTTCTGAAGACAGATGACTGTGAATGAACATGTGATTAGAACAAACTTGATGCTCTGTGGACCAGCTGATGTGGTCTTTGGACTCCATGCAGATGCAGAGTACTGCAGACGTTGTTTTTATGACCCACAGTAAGAACTAAAACCAGATCAACCTGATGACTTTGCTGATAAACTGTCCGTCATCATAAACAGTCTTCAGCATCTGGTTTCCATGGTGATCAATCATGACAGAAGCCAAAATCTTTAACTAATGTTGTATTGGTGTTGTTGGTCCAAACACCATGTGAGCTGATGGTTCATGTTCCTCCACAGAGAGGACCAGGAGAGCTCAGAGGTTCCCTCAGGTCCGTCTGCCCAGCAGCATCAAACACACCTGGACGCCATCTTCATGGTGTGTACATGAACAACTACTTTTACATCTCTCAGTTGACCATCATCTTCATGCTGCACTTTGTGGACAAGTGGATTGTCCGTCTGTCCAACATGGACCTGATGGTGGCTTCCATGTTTTAGTTTGTGTCATTCATAGAATATTCTGTTCCAGCTGCTGGAAGAGAACATCCTCACTTTTGTAAAGAACGAGCTTAAGAAGATCCAGAAGGTTGTGAGTTCAGATTACCCACAATGCTCAGAGAAGGAGAATGAGGAGATGCTGGATAAAGAGCAGAGGAGGAGCAAGGAAGCATTTGTAAAGATCTCAGTGCACTTCCTGAGGAGAATGAAGCAGGAGGACCTGGCTGAGCGTCTGCAGAGCAGTAAGAGGATTTCTCTAAAGACTTACGATGCTGATGAATCCTTTACTAATGTCTCAAGAGATGGACAGAATATATTCATGGTCATTCTCTGAGGAAAACACATGTTTAAATCTATTCTTTGACTTATTGATCTTCTTTGTTGTCTTCATTCAGGACTTCTTCCTGCAGGTTGTCAGCGTGAACTCAAATCCAACCTGATGGAGAAGTTCCAGTGTATGTTTGAGGGGATCGCTAAACCAGGAAATCCACCCCTTCTGAATGAGATCTACACAGAGCTCTACATCACAGAGGGAGGGACTGCAGAGGTCAATCAAGAACATGAGGTCAGACAGATTGAAACAGCATCCAGGAAACCAGCCAGACCAGAAACAACCATCAGACGAGAAGACCTCTTTAAAGCTTCAGCTGGAGGAGAGGAACCAATCAGAACAGTGATGACTAAGGGAGTGGCTGGCATTGGGAAAACAGTCTTAACACAGAAGTTCACTCTGGACTGGGCTGAAGGCAAAGACCACCAGAAGATAGAGTTCACATTTCCATTCACCTTCAGAGAGCTGAATGTGCTGAGAGAGAAGAAGTTCAGCTTGGTGGAACTTGTTCATCACTTCTTCAGTGAAACCAGAGCAGCAGGAATCTGCAGGTTTGAAGAGTTCCAGGTTCTGTTCATCTTAGACGGTCTGGATGAGTGTCGACTTGCTCTGGACTTCCACAAGAATGAGGTCCTGACTGATGTCACAGAGTCGGCCTCAGTGGATGTGCTCCTCACAAACCTCATCAGGGGGAAGCTGCTTCCCTCTGCTCGCCTCTGGATAACCACACGACCTGCAGCAGCCAATCAGATCCCTCCTGAGTGTGTTGGCATGGTGACAGAGGTCAGAGGGTTCACCGACCCCCAGAAGGAGAAGTACTTCAGGAAGAGGTTCAGAGATAAGAAGCAGGCCAGCAGGATCATCTCTCACATCAAGACCTCACGAAGCCTCCACATCATGTGCCACATCCCAGTCTTCTGCTGGATCACTGCAACAGTTCTGGAGGAGATGAAGACCGGAGAGGGAGGAGAGCTGCCCACGACCCTGACTGAGATGTACATCCACTTCCTGGTGGTTCAGTCCAAAGTGAAGAAGGTCAAGTACGATGGAGGAGCTGAGACGGATCCACACTGGAGTCAAGAGAGCAGGAAGATGATCGAGTCTCTGGGAAAACTGGCCTTTGATCAGCTGCAGAAAGGCAACCTGATCTTCTATGAATCCGACCTGACAGAGTGTGGCATCGATATCAGAGCAGCCTCAGTGTACTCAGGAGTGTTCACTCAGATCTTTAGAGAGGAGAGTGGACTGCACCAGGACAAGGTGTTCTGCTTCGTCCATCTGAGTGTTCAGGAGTTTCTGGCTGCTCTTCATGTCCATCTGACCTTCTTCAGCTCTGGTGTCAATCTGCTGTCAGAAGAACAACCAACCTCCTTGTTGTCTAGATGCTATATAGTCAATCGTGAACCAAAGCGTCTCTACCAGAGTGCTGTGGACGAGGCCTTACAGAGTCCTAATGGACACCTGGACTTGTTCCTCCGCTTCCTCCTGGGTCTTTCCCAGGAGGCCAATCAGACTCTCCTGCAAGGTCTGCTGACACAGACAGGAAGTCGCTCACAGACCAATCAGGAGACAGTCCAGTACATCAAGGAGAAGATCAGTGAGAATGTGTCTCCAGAGAAAAGCATCAATCTGTTCCACTGTCTGAATGAACTGAATGATGGTTCTCTAGTGGAGGAGATCCAACAGTCCCTTAGATCAGGACGTCTCTCCACAGATAAACTGTCTCCTGCTCAGTGGTCAGCTCTGGTCTTCATCTTACTGTCATCAGGAGAAGATCTGGAGGTGTTTGACCTGAAGAAATACTGTGCTTCAGAGGAGGCTCTTCTGAGGCTGCTGCCAGTGGTCAAAGCCTCCAACAAAGCTCTGTAAGTAAGAGAGTTAGATTCATACATCATGACTTAAACATGCTGCCATATTTTCTACTTGTTCATATTTTCTTCATTGTTGTTTCTTCAGACTGAGTGACTGTAACCTCTCAGAGAGAAGCTGTGAAGCTCTGTCCTCAGTTCTCAGCTCCCAATCCTCTAGTGTGAGAGAGCTGGACCTGAGCTACAACGGCCTGCAGGATTCAGGAGTGAAGCTGCTGTCTGCAGGACTGGAGAGTCCACACTGTGACCTGGAGACTCTCAGGTCAGGATTCAATTAATCTCCACTTGGTGTCTTTATTTATGGTGGGTTGACGTGGCACAGGGGTAGAGAGGGTGCTCGCGCGTTAAAATGTAAAAGCCATGGATTATAAATGCAATGTAAGTCGCTTTGGATAAAAGCGTCAGCTAAATGACCTGTAATGTAATTTACATCAGTGGTACATTTCTGAATTTCATGAGATTCTTTCTGCTTGCATGATTTTAAATCAAAGTTTATTTTTATTATAATGTTACAAATAGAAATATTGAAGACCAATTCTAGTTGTCAGTAATGTTACTGGAGTGTTGGTGTACATTAGTGGGTGTATAACCATGTTTATGTGACCCCTCAGTAGCCGACAATATCTCATTCCTGCGGTGACCTTCTAGTGCTCACAGCTCCCTAAGATCATGTGACATGTGTGTTTTTTTGTGTATTTGCAGGATGTCAGGCTGTCTGATCACAGAGGAAGGCTGTGCTTCTCTGGCCTCAGCTCTGAGCTCCAACCCCTCCCATCTGAGAGAACTGGACCTGAGCTACAATCATCCAGGAGACTCAGGAGTGAAGCTGCTGTCTGGTGGACTGGAGGATCCACACTGGAGACTGGAGACTCTCAGGTAGGAAGAGGCTGCAGCCACAGACCATCAGTCTGTAGAGGAGCTGGAAACCTTTTCTCTGTCCCACTGTCAGCCTGGTTAATAAGACCCTGACACACCAAGCTGACCTCAAACTACCAGAGACTCATCAAGCTGTTTGTGTCCCACATGAGACATCAATACAGAAAGAAGTAGTAAGGAACAGTAGCCAGGATGAGCCTAAACAGGGAGGAAGGTGATGAAAGGCTTGTTTCTCTGGAGCCGTGTCTTGTCTCCACATTATAAGAGAGGACAGTGTCTCCTGACACGTTGACGGCATCAAGGTGGGTTCATATGAGTCAACATCAACACGCTGCAGGTTTGTGGGCTCTTATCAAACAACACTTGGATATTTAGATGCTG